AAAATATTAAAGGGATGACTGGTAAGCTCTTAGAAAAGAAAATATTGATTACTAACGAGATAACATTAGATCACTAACAGTCAAAATAGCAAAGTGGTCTGATTTCTCAACATTTCTAGGCTCAGACGTAAAGAGAATACAGTATATTTAGTATATCAGGATTTCAACTAGATCTCCCATGATAATCCTTTTGGATAAGATGGAAAAGATGAATTGGTTGTACAATTAGGTAGATTTGTAATTACTACATTTCAGTGTCATAGCATGCTGACTAATGGATCTAGTCATTTAACAAACACTGTGCCAGGCCCTGTACCAAATGTTGAAGACACAAACATGAAAGTAACATGGCCCTTGTTTGCATCTGTGTAAGCTTCTGCTGGCGTGGAGGGTGATAAAATCATGTCCTGAAGCATATACTGGATGTTGTGCAGGCAGGATCCCAGAACTGGGCTTCAAGCATCAGATGAATGGCTAAATTTCACATCTGTTCAAGCCCTGGCATTTTGTGAGTCATAAGTCAAAAAAGACATTTATCTAGATATAGTATGAAACTAAACAGTTTAGTAACATAAGTGATACCAACAAATAGTTGTAGAAGTTAGAAGAGTGGTAAGTACATGTAAGCACCAGATTTGTGGTTGTGATCAACATATGTATGTATATGAACAACATATGTAACTTTTAAAAGTATATAGCTGTACAAATGTAATCTCATCAAAGTCAAAATTATCCCTCCCCCCCTTATATTTTGATTCAACCCCTCAGATGAGCTTTCCAACTAGAATTTCTTGATTCAAAGGATACTAGCTGTTTCTGGTTCTCCACCTCTTGGTTAACTGGGGGATTATATATTTTATGACCATGATGTTGCTTAGCTCCTTTTTCTTTGGTAACAGCTGAGTGTCTGCCCATGCACAGGGAAGCGCTCTGATAGTTAGAACAGGAACAGTTGAGGACCACAGACTTTTAAGCATTCAGCACTGGAGCTTATGGTAAAAAATTAAGCATAAGAAAACTGGCATTCCCTACAGATTGAATTCAGTGATGACTATGTTGTTAAGAAGGCAATGTTATAGATTTTAACCTTGTAATATTAAGTACTGATTTGGAATCAGACAAATTGGGTAACATTTTACAATCTTTCTTCATCTGTAGAAAGGAGATATCAATCCCTACCTCATGGAGTAGATTTTACTATTAAAATGGGATATATATAAAATACTTAGAGCCATACCTGAGATGAGGTTTTTGAATAAACATGTATATAACATACACATGTGTTCATGGTATTTTCTAAGCCTTTTCTTCTATAGAATGAGATAGAGATTTTCTATGAATGATTTTGTTGCCCAGATATCAGGGAATCGGATAGATTTCTAACTGTTAATCCCATAGCATTCTAGTATTCCACCACCACAGAATCCAGACTGAGTCTGTACAACATGTTTTTTTCCAAATAGCCATCAATCTTTCATGGCCCTTCCTGGCCAAGTGTAATAGAAATACCTGAATGAGTTTCTTGGTGCTGACATTTAGAATTTCACAGCATTCATCTGCACTTAATATCTGTCACTGAAAAGGCCTGGCAGCATTACAGTCAGTTCCTCCTACTGGCAAGGTGTTAATGGTTTAAAAAAAAAAAAAAAAAAGACAGGTTCTGCCAAGCCTGGTTAATTTAAGATACATTCCCTACAGGGCATAAGCTAAAAAGACCTGTGCCATATGCTTTCGTTATTGTATCCACTATGAATGAGTTTTGAACATAAAAATGTTTGATAGTTGTAGATAATTTAATTCAGTTCAGCAGGATGTTTTATTTAGGCACTGTATTAGTCAACTCAAACTGCCATTCAAAATGCCATATACCGGGTAGCTTAAAAAATAGAAGTTTATTTGCTCACAGTTCTGGAAACTGGAAGTCCAAGATCAGGGTACCAGCATAGTCAGGTTCTGGCAAGAGCTCTTTTCCTTGCTTACAGCCACCTTCTCTCAGTCTCTTCACATAGCCTTTCCTTGGTAAATACAGAGATAGAGCGATTTCTCTTTCTTCCTCTTCTTATAAGGCCACTAATCCTATTGGGTTAAGACCCTACACTTACTTAACCTTGATAACCTCCTAAAAACCGTATCTCCAAGAACAGTCATAATGGGGGGTTAGGCCCTCAACATATGAATTTTGGGATGACACAGTTAACCCACAGTAGGCACTTGTCCATATCCAAAATGGAGAGAGGAATTTCAGATTCGTCATCTGCAACCAAGATACTGAGGATCCTAAATACTAACAAATCTTAGTATCCCACAATAAGATTATATGAACTAATAAATTTCAAGCTTCTTTAATTTGGACCAGAATTTTATTTTATAATAACACTGATTATTTCATGAAAAATTAAAAGCTCTAATTGGACTTTGTATATACCTAGATGATTCTTATGAAAAATAAATTAATAAATGCCATTTACTTAGTTAACCAATTTTTAACTCCATCACCACCTTTAAATTTTCTTGCTACAAAATCAAAGCTGAATCTAATGCACCCTCTGTGATCTAGAGTGTAGATACTATCAGTATACAGGAAATACTGGGAATGTAAGATTATGCTAAATGATGTCTCAGGAATGCAGTCTACAAATATAGAACATAGCACTGACTGTCTGTATGACAAAATCCCAGTTTCTTCAATTAAAAAGAGAGCAATAAAAAATGAATAAACTATTGATACACATAACAATTGGGATGTTTAGCAACCCTAGTATATAATTTAAAAGACTATATGCTGTGTGATTCCATTCGTATGAAATTCCTGATCAGGAGTCAGCATCCTTTGAAGCCAATGTCCAAGAGAGGTACTAGTCTCTGTAAGACAAAGCTCCAGTATTCAGTGCAGCCAGTGCCCCAGGGATCCATGGACAGAGCCTGAAACAATCGTGGGTCACGTACCACTTCTCTGGTTGGCATGAATGAGCATATATGTAGTGGCCCTGCAAAAACTAAAAGGGAATAAAACACCGGACAGAAAGAGTGTGGATTTCAGATACTGAGTATAGTATGAGTAGAGATAATTAACAGGAATGAGCATACCAGATGTGAGCAGCTGGAATGAGAGCTGTCTGAATCTGAAGTTAGGTATTATAGACTACTAGGTAATAAGGCAAGGCTGGGTAGATGGACCAGGGCCAGACCACTGCCAATCAGGCAAAAGATTATAGTCTTTTTAGGGTAAGCATTAAATCATCCTTGTAAGTTTTCGAATAGAGATGACCTGGCAAATTATGATTATTCAAATTAAAGCTTATACATTCTGAGAGGCAGCTCAACCTTATGTAAAATGTCCTTTAAAATGTTTATTCCAGTAAGTCCCATTTCTTGACCAAGTGCTAGCAACATGGTTGTGTTCACTTTGTAAAAATTCATCAAGCTCTACACTTACAATTTTTACATATTTCCATGTGTATGTTATACTCAAAACTAATATTTTAGTACATTTGGTGGGTTGTGGGGGATCTTGTGTGGTACCACCAAATATGTTACATGTATCCATCGATGAACCCATGAATGATAAGGGAAATAATCTATCACTAACTGGCCCAAGGTTACATAGATGGTCAATGGTAGAACTGGGGGGTCACAAATCTTTAGGTCTCCTGATTATCAGTCCAATATAACTTTTTTTTCCATGTTTATTTATTTTGGGGGTGGGGGGCGGGCAGGGTAGAGCCAAGAAGAAGGGAGAGAGAGAGAATCCAAGCAGACTCAGCACTGTCAGCACAGAGCCCGTCATGGGGCTCGAATTCACAAGCCATGAGATCATGACCTGAGCTGAAGTCAAGAGCCAGATGCTTAACCAACTGAGCCACCCAGGTGCCCCAATATGACTTCTTTTTAGAAAATGATAAGCATTTCATTTAGCCTTCCTCAGTCTACATACATTCTTTATGTATTGGAGAAGTCAGCAGATCACTAGTGTTTCCCAAATACAAGCAGGAATTCTTTCTTTAAAGATTTGCACCTAAACATAGGTGAGAATACCTGACTCCTCTAAGCTTTACCCTTAAAATAAATCAACGTTTTCTGTGTTTATTAAAAAAGCATTTTTGCAGCACCTGGGTGGCTCAGTCAGTTGAGCAACTGACTCTTGATTTTAGCTCAGGTCATGATCTCGCAGTTTGTGAGATTGAGCCCTGTATAGGTCTCCTGAACTGATAGCATGGAACCTGCTTGAGATTCTCTCTCTCTCTCTCTCTCTCTCTCTCTCTCTCTCTCTCTCTGACCCCTGCCCCCTTCTCTCTCTCTCTCTCTCAAGATAAATAAACTTTTTAAGAAATGCATTTTTTTTGTTACACACACACACACACGCACACACACACACAATGTATACCAAACTTGTCTACTTCTGGGATAGTGTGTAAGGACTTAGCTATAAGCAGATACATTATAAGCAGAACAAGTAAGCTATAGAATTATATGTTAAATATTATCTCATTTCTCTAATAATATTAAAAATACATACATATGAACAAAAATAATTAGGATATTTACCAAAGTGTTAATGTTGATTATCTCTATATGAAAGGACTATAGGTAATTTTATTTTCTTCTTAATTTGTTTCAAATTTTCAACACTGAAATAGATTTTGTAACCAAGAAATAATTTTTTTTTTACTAAAAAACCTTAAGATGTATCAAGCTTCCTATCTAATATAGTCATGTATAAAAATCAATCTCAACACTTTTCTAAATCACTATAAAAAGGATCATTTTAGTGGCTTGCATTCCCCTATATAATGTTAGAATGCTAATTAACTATTGAAATGCAAATTTTTCGCCAGCTAAATATATTCAAAATATATTCAGTCCAACTTAGTAAGACATTTCATTTAGACATAAAATTTCACAAGAATACAGCGTATTCTGGAAATAGTACAGCTATCTATTGAAAGAAACTACTTAAATGTATAACACAATAATAAACCTCTATGAAAATGTTTCTGCAGGTATGCTGGTATCCTCCTGGGCATCACAAATACATTTGCCACTATTCCAGGAATGGTTGGACCTGTCATTGCTAAAAGTCTGACCCCTGATGTAAGTAGATAATTTGCTTATAAACTACAAAGGTCTACATAGTTCATTTGAACCTGCACATCTGTGTCAAAGTCGAGTGTATTTTAATTAAGAGTAAAATTCTGAATATTTATTCTTTCTTTTTTTACTTTTTTTTTTTAATGTTTATTTATTTTTGAGAGAGAGAGACAGAGCATGGGGCGGGGGGGCAGGCAGAAAGGGAGACACAGAATCCAAAGCAGGCTTCAGGCTCTGAGCTGTCAGCACAATGCCCGATGCAGGGCTCAAACCCAAGAACCATGAGACCATAACCTGAGCCAAAGTTGGAGCCCAACTGACTGAGCCACTCAGGCACCCTTGAGTGTTTATTCTTATGAAATTCCTTGTATCAACAAAAAGCTAAATGCCCTAATGGATAGGGAAGTCTATTTTCAAAGAACACTCTTTGGATTTTAGAACAACAGAACTAAATTCAATGAAAATGTAGCTGACACCACACATGTACTTTGAAGTCATGATTGTATACAGTATCTTGTGTCTTTGGTTTGAACAAATAAAAATTGTTTGTTTATGTAAAATTATTCAAGAAGTGGGTCCACAAAGGTGAGAGAGATGTCAGGAGGTCATGTGCAAATGAATAAATATCAGGTGAAATGACAAATACTGACAGAAGCAGAAGACTTGTGAAGACATGATAGGTAACTTCACATATTGAAGGACTACCACACAAAAGATGGTGACTTATTCTCAGCAGTTCCACAAAGACAGATGGAGAGAAGTAATGAGGACACAACAGGAAAACTTCCTGCTTAACGCTGTCTACTATATGGAATGGGCTACCTTATGAGTTAGTGAGCCCTGAAATAGTCAAACATGGATTGAACAGGCATTTCTTTTTTTTTTTAATGTTTATTCATTTTTTGAGAAAGAGAAAGAGTGCAAGAGAAGAAGGGCAGAGAGAGGGGGAGACACAGAATCCAAAGCGGGCTCCCAGCTCTGAGCTGTCAGCAGAGAGCCCGATATGGGGCTCAAACTCACAAGCCATGAGATCATGACCTGAGCCGAAGTCAGACACTCAACCAACTGAGCCACCCAGGTGCCCCTGTTAAGATTTTTTTTATTAAAATTTTTCTAATGTTTATTTTTGAGAGAGAGACATAGACGGAGTATGAGTGGGAGAGGGGCAGAGAGAGGGGAGACATAGAATCCGAAGCGAAGCAGGCTCCAGGCTCTGAGCTGTCAGCACAGAGCCCGACACAGGGCTTGAACGACTTACTCTGAGATCATGACCTGAGCTAAAGTCGAACACTCAACCGACTGAGCCACCCAGGTGCCCCTAAGTAGGCATTTTTGAGTGCTTATTAATATGCCAGATACTGAGGATCCAAAGGCAAAATGACAAGCTTCTATGCTTGAGAAACTCATCATTTAGAGATTGTATGTAATCAAATAAAGTACAGTATGGCAAACGCTGCAGAAAAAAATGTCTGCAGAGTGCTGTGGGTACAGGGGAGAGAACACGCAGTCTGTGGAGAAGGAGCCCTAGAGGAGTGGATGGGGTGCAGGAAGGGCACTGAGCCCTCCAGGGGCCCAAGGCTGGTCTGGCCTTGAGCAGGGAGGCAGCATGGCACCACATCAGTAAGCAGAGACTCGGCCCTGTAAAAGTTGCCCACACATGCAAGAAATAAAAATCAGTGACCTCCAACTCCAGTTTTCTACTGTTTAAAACAATGTAACACCTGATGAAATATATTCTTCAAGACACTGACTCTAAATGTGTAAAAGAGACTTAATTCTTTGTCTCTGTAATCAAATTAACACCATCTAATCCTTAAAATTTCAGGATACGCTTACAAACTTTTTTATTGCCAAATATACTGATTTCAGACATATGTGTTCACCACAGTGTTCCTATTTCTTGTCTGCTCCCACCATTTCTAATTCCCTACATGAATGAATCAGTGCCTCCTCATTACTGTTTTCTCTCATTTAATAGGAATGGATGTTGAGGGGCACCTGGGTGGCTCAGTCAGTTAAGTGTCCGACTTTAGCTCAGGTCATGATCCCACAATAAGTGGTTCAAGCCCCGTGTTGGGCTGTGTGCTGACAGCTCGGAGCCTGTGCCTGCTTCAGATTGCATCTCCCTGTCTCCCTGACCCTCCCCTGCTTATACTCCTGTCTCTCTCTCTCTCTCTCCCTCTCTCCCTCCCTCCCACTCTCTCCCTCTCCCACCCTCCCTCCCTCTCTCAAAAAATAAATAAATGTTGAAAAAAAATTTTTTTAAATAGGGATGTTGGGAAAGGTTTTTTTTTCCCCTAAAATTCTGTGTCTCGTTATAGACACATCAAAAAATATATAATATATATGGACACATCAGAAACGTTTAACCTTATCTTCATGGAGCATTGTGGCACACACAAACTTAAGTCAACATACTACCATGTATTAATTTTACTTATTATGGATAATTGTAGCATTTCTGCTAGGGAAATCCGGATTCTTCAATTAAAGTCTTGAATGTAAAGTGGGAACTGAACTGAATTTTGGATATGCTATCATGGCATTTGTTTAATGTTATTAAAAGGATATTTTTTAAGAGGAAAAACACATATTTGCCTTTACAATTGTAATTGCTCACGATTAAAAAGTACTGCACTGCCTCAAAAACTTTGTGGAATGAGTCAAGTACAAATAAAAACCACATTGTTCACATACTAAATAGTTACTAAATTTTACAACGTATTTCTAAGATTTTTTTCCCCAAATACATGCATGTCAGATAAGTATAACTTAACAGCAGAGTGCTTTCTTTCTCCATGATTTTCCTTTTTTCCTAAATGAATGACCTCATACTAGCCTCCTAGTGCCTTTCTTTTTTCTTTCCCGTTACCAGTTCCACCACTTGTTTTTTCTTTTTTAAATGCTGCAAATGTAGCATTCTGGTTAGACTGACATTGCAAAATCCAAAAAGTGGTTGTAAGTTAGTCACATGACCCAGAAATTAGCTAACTGCCTAATGTTTTTATACCACTGGATTATACACTGAACAATTGTGTTTTGTTGATCTCTTAACTGGCAAATCCCACACGTGTCCTGTTTTGTGTGCCATTCAAGAACTCTGTGTGCCAGGCCTCAAACTTGAACTTCAAAGTTCATCTTAACTCATCCTTACTTGATCTGCCCTTTATACTTCCACCTGAGAACTTGGCAGATGAGTACTTTCCTAGCAATGCATGTGGAAAGACATGCCACACGTTTTATTTTGAGTAAGCTTTTTATTGAAGCATTACAGTATTTAAAAAATACACAAATCCTAAGCATACAGTTGGATGAATTTTCACAAAGTTAATAACTGGTGTAACCAGCTCCCAGTCAAGAAACAGAACGTTACCTCTTGTGCAAAGCCTCCAGGTACTCTTCGCTGCCATTCCCCCATCTCCCTACCAAGAGGAGCCTCTACTCTGACTTTTAACACTATGATTATAGTTTTGTGTGTGTGATTTTGAGCTTTTATATAATGGAATGTTATATAAAACAGTCCCTCAATACGTGCTCTTTTATGTCTGGCTTCTTCCACTTAACGTTTTGTTAGTGAGGTGCATCGATGTTGTTGTAGCTCATTCATTTTCATCATGTATAGTATTCTGTTGAACAAATAGACCACATTTTTGCTGTGGACATTTGGGTTGTTTCCAGCATGGGGCTTTTATGATTAGCACTAGTGTTGTAACAGTCTTGTGACACCTCCTTTTCTATAAAGTGGACTGTAAACAAAGTTCTTTTTCATCGGCATGTTTTCCTTTCTATAGAACACGATTAGAGAATGGCAAACCGTTTTCTATATCGCTGCTGCTATTAATGTGTTTGGTGCCATTTTCTTCACGCTATTCGGCAAAGGTGAAGTGCAAAGCTGGGCTCTCAACGATCAACATGGACACAGAAACTGAAGCAACCGATAAATAATTCTGTCTCTATTAATGTATTTTTGTTGATCATGTAACCTAAAAGTGCCTTTGATATTTTAATGTGTATGCATTGTATGTATAAGAAAAAATTGTACTTGTATTAAATTTTTAAGGCTTGTAATCATGAAATGTCACAAGTTGCCAGATTAGTAAAATTAACTATTTTTAATTATTAATAACACGTATCCTGGAACTTACACTTGAGGGTCACGCATCTGGCTGTAAATCAGGTGATATAAAGGAGGGGAGTTGTGCTTATTCTTAAGGGCCATACATAAAGGAATGAGCTGAAGTGGACCCCTCTATACCTTTGCTTAATTAAACTAGGTAATAATTCTCAGGTCGTGGCCAACATCTGTTTTTGACCACTTTCCTCATAAGAATGATTTGTCGGCAGCAATCCCGGACACTTAGGTCTCAAACTGCAGCATCTCCACGGAGCTGCCAACCGCTGTATAATTTGGCCTGGCAACCAGGCTGAGGGAAGCATGCCCAGGCAGCCGCCGAGCATTCCCTCCCTGGCTTCAGGGACAGTGCCCAGCATTTATCAGAGGCAGCGCCCAAGACCAGGGTCAGCGCCAACCCTTCAGATGGCGTTCTTCCCCCGGGGGGCTCTTAACGTGTAGATAAAGCTGAGTAGACCCAGGCAGCAAGACCCGCCGCCGTGGTCTGACGCATCCTCACACTTCCCCCTCCCCAGCTCACTGGAATATGGCTTGGCATGTAACCTGCAAAAAGACGGTGTGATGCCCACTTAACCACAAACAATATCACCCTTGATTGGAACTACCTTCTCATGGATTAAAATAGAAATTTCCAACTCCTGTGTTCTATGGGCTTCCACAAGAATAATTTCTTAAAAATTTTTTTTTAAATCTCACATTTTTTTTCCATTTGACTACATGTAAGCTTCTGGCCTACAACCGGTGGTGTAATCATCCTTACTTCCGGCTCCTGAATCACATTTTCCAGTTTTTACCTGACCATCTTCCAGTGGTTTTTGAGCATGCTTCGAGGGCATTTATGTGATTTAGAACTTCATTTATGTTTTTTTATGTTTGTTCAACACTACCTGTAACATTTTAACTGAAACTGTTTGATGTAATATGATGTGGATACATTTATTTTTAAATTTGTAAATAGCTTTAAGTTGCTATGGTGATATTTCTTTTATAAATCATCAAAATTAAACATTTTTGGATGGATTTTTGGATCTGGCAATTCTATGGTAGCTTCTAGTGTCTAGAGTGGCTATTTTACATCTCTACCATCTTCCTCAAGCCACCAGTCTACCTCTAGGTGCCTCTGTGCCATCACCAAGCCAAGGCCCTCTGAGTGATCCAGCATTAGAAATCTTTGTTGCCCTCAACCTGCCCTTCCTAGTTCTGCAAAGGACCCGCTCTTCTCCCCAAAGGGTATGCCTACACCACAGACTGTATCCTCTCCTACCTCCTCTAAGACCTTGCTTCAGTAATTCCTCTGTAATTTCTGCTTCTTCAATCTCTACCTCTCTTCTTGTTCTTTTCCTTCTGTCTCAAAAACACTCAAGTCTTCTCTAGCCTTTAAAAACAAAAATACAGGGGGTGCCTGGGTGACTCAGTTGGTTGAACGTCCGACTTCAACTCAGGTCATGATCTCACGGTTAATGACTTTGAGCCCCACATCAGGCTCCCTGCTGTCAGTGCAGAGCCCTCTCTGGATCCTCTGTACCCCTCTCTCTCTCTCTGCCCCTTCCCTGCTCACGCACTCTCTCTCTTCCTCTCTCCCTCAAAAAATAAATAAACATTAAAAAAAAAAACCCATAAAATTCTCTGGAAACAAAAAAAAAAACAGATACATACAGAATATCTTTACAATGATACTCAGGAAACGAGACAGGTTACCTCTGAAGCGAGAAAAATGGGCAACCAGGGGTAGGACAGAGAATTCGTTTTCCCTTTACCAAATGTGGCAGTATAACTGTTCAAATAAAAACATCACTTTAAAGAAACAAGAAACAAAACACCCGTTGCTCAAACTACTGTGTAATCACCACCAGGTTTTTAACTGCTCACCGGACATCCCCACTGGCTCTCTTGTCTACACTTAGGACTTTTGTAAATCCAACCTCTCTCCCTTACCCCCGTCTCCAACAAAATCCACCACTTCCTTATTTTTGTTAGGAGCATTCTTCCTCCTCTGTCCTCTCCCACCCTACCCCCATACCAGTGTATAATTAACCACGTCTTTTCCATTCCAGTTTTTCAAGTCTCTGGAATTTGTTTAAATCCCTCTCCCATCTTCTAAATAAGATCTCTGTGACTTTTGTTTCCACCTGGAATAAAAAAGTTTAAGTGGCCTTGAATCTGATCTTCTGCCCAACTTCCACCCATGCTGGGTCATTGGTCCCAACACATCTCATCTGCCTGATTAGGATGCTCCCCCAAGCTGAAGCCCCTAGCTCCCCTTACTAGCTGCCCAGTAAACCACCCAGCAGCCTACCCTCCTAACTCCTAGGCCCACCTGCTCCATCTCCCAGCACACATCCACCAGCTACATCCAGCTACAACTACTTAACCCTTCCCCCCCCATCTACTCTCCATTTTTCCTCCCCTCCATACCTTTACCAATTTCATTCCTTGGACCTGGAAAGTCACTCTTCGTGTCCACCTCCTTCGTGACCCTTGACTTCCTACATTCTCCCTGACCTAGATGTGGTCTCTTCCTCTGATCCACTGAAACATCGTATTATTTATTTTGAGTTTTTTCTATATTTTAAGCTCAAGGACTCAGCCTCAGTTTTGAGGAAGAGGTCATTCATTCATTCATTCATTCAGCAAACAGGGATATCTACTCTTTCCTAGGCAATAAGGGTATACTGATATGCATTTGACACAGTCCTTTCTCTCCCTGCAGGCCTTCCTGAAGTCACTCCTTGGTCCCCTTTCTTCTGAATGGCCTTTTCTTTATAATACAGATGAATACTGTTCGTGGCCAATCTCCCTATTAGAGTCATCGCAAGCATCTTGATTTGATTCATCTCAGCATGGTCTCCCTTGTAACAATACATGCTTTGTCTTAATATTTTAGTTGCTTAATAAATGTTTAGTAAATCACCCTTTGGCTAAATGGGCTATACATCGAAATTTTCATCTCCTATGTTGTTCTTTTCAATATGTTCTTTTTCTCAAAAAACAAAGTGAAATAAACGTGCCAACACCAACACCTTTTAAAGAAGAAACGATAATGCTAACCTCAAAATAAGGTGTAAGTGGCAGTCATTGGTAAATGGTTTTGAAAGTATGTATTTGAGAATAGTTTAGTTCTACATAAGCAAAATATTTCTGCCAGTTATGCAACAAATATTTATTGAGCATTCATTACAAGCAAGGCTTTGTTCTTGGCACCAGGGATACAACAGCGAGGAAAAGCAAATCCCTTCACTCATTGAGCTCCCATTGTGATTTATCAAACATTTTCCTTCATAGATACCAGCCTTTGAAACCTTCCATGTAAAAACATCATTATCCACCCAACAATCAAATCCAGTGGAAATGAGTGTGCCGGCTAACCTTGAGAAGCAGAGTTATGAAAGAAATGGAGACAAACACTGAAGTCAGCAGTTTGTATTAACCATTGTAATGTCCTCGCTTCAGCCTGTTTCATTTTCAAGAAATCGGAAATAAACATGTTTGAATTTAGACCCTATCGCAAGGTAAATAATCTCTTCTCTAAGGGCAGTTTACCACTGTTCTAAATAAAACGCCCTCAACAGGAAAATATTGGTAAGAGTATTTAAATTTGAAGGCAGGAAGAGCACCATAGGAAGTGGCCTCGTTCGTCTCTGGAAAAGCACCAGTTACTGCCTCAGAGGCATAGACCTGGGGTCAATGTCTAATTTCAGTTAAAGAATAAATTATCTCTCTTCTAGAAATGTAAATTAAGATGGATCACAAACCCTTTTCAGATGCCTCTGCCTTTTAGAGTAACCATAAGCAGAAAAGACAAATATAAAAAGTTTGTGCTCTAAGAGAGTAATAGAGAAAACACTTTCTAGGGGCGCCTGGGTGGTTCAGTTGGTTGGGCATCCAGCTTCAGCTCAGGTCATGAACTCATGGACTGTGGGTTTGAGCCCCGCATCGGGCTCTGTGCTGACAGCTCAGAGCCTGGAGCCTGCCTTGGATTCTGTGTCTCCCTCTCTCTCTCTCTCTCTGCCCCTCCCCCACTTGCACTCTGTCTCTCTCAAAAATAAATAAACATTAAAAATTTTAAAAAAAGAAAAGAAAAGAAAACACTTCTAGAAGCTCCTGCTATGAAATGCTGTAAGTACACCCATTACTGAAAACAAAAGAAATGTAATAAATTTTCTGCCACCCTTTTTCATGTGCTTTGATGAGGAAAAACACTAGTAACTTTCCAAGCGCCTGTTTACTTTCACTTTATCTTGATGTTGCAGGAGGAGGAAACTTAGAAGTTCCACGTCATTGCCAGTCCTGTGCTAGTAAAGTGAGAAGCCATTAATGCACAACTGAGCTGAAAAGCATTTAAATGCCCTGTTTCCCCTTACTCTCGCCTTCAAGCTAATAGGCTGCACTTCGGGCAGGGAGAAACTTACCATCCTGAATATCGCATTAAATCTTTTCCTGAAGTGCTCTTTTTTGGCAGAAGCTCCTGAAATATGCTAGCATTTCAAACGAGTCATGGCCTGTCACATTAAGTGTGCGTCTTGACCCCTGTCTTCCTGTAGAGCACCACAAATAGCCCAGGTTTGAAGCGTTTTAACGACTTCACGCTGGCTCCCCAGTCTGAAACTTGAGCTTGCCATGGAACTTTGGTTGAGATTGAAGGTGATCTGGGTAGGATACATAGTCTGGTCTTTTTAAGGCTCAAGAACTGTTCTGTGTGAAGTATCAGGAAGCTGTTACATGAACTTCAAATGTGCATATTGGATAAATTACCTACAGGCTCTCTGTTATAAAGCACTTTTTTTTTTTTTTTTTTTT